CATATATCCTGTTTTTGAGACCATGTACAGTCTGTGCCCATATCTACATACACACATCTATATATCCATGGCTATGGCTATAGCTCTGTATGTTCACGTTAAGTCTGCTGCACACGCCTGATGAAACTGTCAACTGTCATTTAAATTTAATCGCATGTTGTTTCTCTCGCTTTGGAGTTGTCGCCGCGATTATTGTCGCCAGTTGTAGCTCTGGCTTGACGGCTGCCCGACTCCCCTTTCCAACTGATTTTAATTACTGCTTCACAAGACATCGAAAGTCAACCGGGCAACCCTATACTAGACGCACCCCCCTCCACATTACCCTTGTTCGCCCCTACCTTTAAAAATTCAGCTTCTGTCAGTCGCTTATCGCTTTGGCTTTATAAAAATAATATAAAGAGACACTCATTAGGTTGGTTTCTGTCTCTATCTCTGCTTCTGTCTCTGTCTCCGACTCTGTCTCTGCCTCTGTCTCCGACTTTGTCTCTGTTTCAAGTTTCTGTTTGCTTGGCAGCTCTGCTCCATTTAGATAAGTGACACATAAATTAAGCAATTTTCCTTTTATTTTACTTGCTATTTCAATCATTCTCTCTTTCTCTCTCGCTCAGTCTCACTCTCTGCTCGGTGTGCCAGCATAAAAGAATAATTATAAAACAATTGTCAAGCTGCTTATGTTGCCTTTGGCTCCCTTTGCTTTTCATTTTACAATTTATTCTTTTTCAGTTGGAAAACTTTAGTTGATTCCCGTTGAAGCCGTTGGTTTATTAACCCCATCACATATTTGTTTTAAGAACGTGCATTCCATCAGACGTCATAAAGTTTATTTGCCGCATTATCTTTTATCATTTAAGGTACGCTGTTCGAGTGTAAGATAAACATTTTGACAGAAGTGTCATAAATTGTCTCCCAGGTACAATTCCGATAGCAAAGCAGGGCAACGTCTCAACGAAATGTTTTAAAAGTACAAACTATTCTTAACAGCAGTCAAATCGGTTCATATTAGGGTGGACTCTTATGATTGTTGCCTTTTTAATTAGAGAGAGCTTTTAAAGCTCATTAATATGCTACTCAAAGCTGCTGCTAAATAGAAAAGAGCTAAATAGAAAAGGGAGGCTTTTTATTAAATGTAAGCTTAGGAAGTTTAAGCATTGGAAATGTTTTATTAAGCTTTTTGTAGAAATGTTGATAGCCATTAAGAAAAATCTTTGAAAGCTTCGGAATTCGCCCCACTCTACCTATAAACGTTGCCAGTTTGAGCTTAGGATTTATGAACATGAGAAAGAGCGGTAATAAGAATTTTATAGAAATGTTCATAATCTTTAAAAAAGAGTGTTAAATGCTCATATTCTGGAATATGGATAGAAAAAGCTTCAAGAGAGATATTTGATTGCATGTTCAGATTACATTAATATATTTAATATTTATTTAAAAAACCCTTTATTAGAAAAAGCTTTAATGAGACTTTTTGAGTTTAATTGCTAAGCTTAGAAATTGTTCACTATTTTTTCATTGACAAAGGTTTGTCTAACCACTAAACGCATGAGAAAATGCACATTATTTTTTTTCGGCTCCTCCCACTTTTCTGCTACTAGTACAGCTTGAATTCACATTCTCTGTGAAAAATTGTCTCATGAACCAAATTGCTCTTGGTTTTAGCACCTTTAAATTGTAGCTGAACAAAGCTCGCTTTTGTTGGCCAGTGACACCTCATTCGAGGCCCAACGTCAAAGTCAGCCTCATGTTGTGTTGGCTAGTTTCAACAGCAAGTCTGTAGAAGGCGCTGCCTTTGTTCATTTCTCTCACCTGCTCAAGAGCCGAGAGCTGAGTGTGCGTACTTGCTATTTGGCCAACAGATTAACACCTTTTGAGTGGATGTTTCAACACGAAACTTGTTCCCGTTGGCCGCAGGCAGCAGAAACACGGAGCAACTGCTGCTGCAGCTGCTGCTTCTTTAATTTGTGCTGGCAAAAACTTTTTCATTTCATTTTGGTTTCTTTTTTTTTTTTTGTTTTATGTTCGGTTTGGCTTGGTTTATAATCAAATGCAATGGCATGACTAAAAATGGAATTTTTCTGTCTGCACTTCATCAACATGCGGGGCCCCAAATGACTCAAAAGACGGCCAGACAAACGGACGGACTAAATGTCAACGCAACATCCCGAACCTGAACCCAGACGCAGGCGCAGGCGCAGGCCCAACCCGTTCCCAACACGCATTCCTCATGCCATACAAAACAATTGACATGCATTGTCGGTGTTGTTGTTGTTGCTGTTGTTGTTGTTGTTGTTGTTGTTGCTGCTGCTGCAGTACTGACAGCAGTGAATTGTCACAGCAGCAACTGCAACAACCGAGTTCTCCTTCGCCTCCCTTGTCAACTTGGCTGACTGCAAAATGCAATTTTCCAAAATGGCCAGCAAAAGGTTGGCACTCAGAACGGGTTTGCTTTGAAAGGACTCGCCAGACGGGAACTGGTTCCACATCGTCAACAGCAAATTGTCTGCTCTTTATTTATCAATAGTGCGATCCCCAAGCCCCCGAATCCCGATTCCCGATTCTAGATTCTCAATTCTCAATTCTCGCATCCCGATCTGCGATCCAATACCAAGCCCAGCGACTGGTTTCCTTTCAATATCATTTCATTTCGCCTTAGACTCTGACGCTCTGACTATCTGGCTATCTGGCTATCTGACGCTCTGATATATCATTGCTGTCTTTTGCTCTTCTGCCGCAAATTAAGATCAATATCGAGGCTCAAACCGGGCGGTAGCCGTTCCATCGGCAGGTGGCATTCGTATTTCGTTTGTGGCTGCAAAATTTCGCTCTCTTTCTCTCGTTAGCTTCCCCTCTCTCTCTCTGTTGCTCCCTCTGGGATCTCTGATTTATTTTCAGTTTCCAGTGGCGGAAATCGCTTAATACGTGGGACGTGGAACGCATTCGGTTTTAGTTTTCAATTCAATTGGCGCGCTTTGATGTCCAACTGCTGCTGCTGCTGCTGCTCCTCCTCCTCTCCACCTCCTACTCGTGCCACCTTACCGCCCATTTAAGCGGCATACCTAGAACCGACTCCCCGCCGTGGCAAAGCCACCTCCTCTCTCCAATTCGCCGCAGTTATTTATTGTATTCGTTTATCTGCATTTACCAGGCGCTTATAAATTTCGTTGCGCTTAATTTGCTAAAGAACTGCAGCTCAAATGACTTTTATGGCTGGGAATTATATTTCCAGATATTCCATAAGCGGCTGCAACAAATTGAAGCACGCAGCGGCGCCATCTGTTGGCTGAAAAGGAAGCTCTGGCATTATATGTACAAAATATTATTGCCGATTTATCTTTAAGGATTGGATATTCTTCTGCCTCCCTTATTTACGTAATAATTTTAAGGAAACAGCACGCAGCCCAAAGCTCATATACATTGATTCCCTAGATTAATATATATCTTTTACAGAATATCTTAAGTCACTTTTTCTGCTCAATATTCTCTTTCCTTGTGTGGTTAATTAAAGCAGCCGCAACTAAATAGCTAGTTAAGCTTTGTTAATTACAAAGTCAAATAGGTGAATTACACCTCCAAGTGGGTAAACAGGCCATGCAAATTAATTGAAAGTATCCACAAGTCAATCAGGCGGAACAAATTTGCGGCAAGCGGCTGGAAAACGCGACAAGTTTCAAGAGCTAAAAAAAACTCAAAGTGAAAACTGAATTAGCATGTCATACCAAGGGGAGATGGCCAGAGAGAGAGAGAGAGAGAGCGGTGAAGTAAGTGAGCAACAGTTAATCGATAATTTATGAGCAGAGAAGCTAGCTGAATCGGGCGGATTAACCCGTAACATGTCTATAAATAGCGCTAATGAGCAGTGCAAACGAACAAGTTCCAACTCAGACTCAAACTCAAACTCCAACTCCAACTCCGACCATCAATCGCTCACTTCGATTCATTGCGGTGTCAATGGATGGCGACTGCAGCAACTGCCACAAGGGGCTTGTGGAATCAACGGGGGGCAACTGCTTGTAAATTGTTTAGACAAGCGTCGGCACGTTGACTTTGAACCAATGTGTGTGTGCGTGTGTGTGTGTGTGTGTGTGTGTGTGTTTGTGCCAGTATTTGATAAAAGAGACGACTTCGTTTCACTGTGGCTGTTTAAGCAATCGTTGTGTAAATATTTACCCCAAAGGTAAAAGTTAAATTAAGCATTGTTTATCTTTGTCTCTCCCCGACCCCTCTCTCTCGCCCTCCCCCATCACTGTCACTCTCTATCTGTGCCATAAATGACGCTACTATTGGCATAAAGCCGGTTATTTGCCTTAAATATTTGCGCTGCATTTCGCCAGATGCAGGCATTAATTGTCACATTTATACTGCAACTCGACTTAGGCAAGTCCTGTGCAACATGAAACTTGTATAATTTCTACAATATTGATACAACAAACTTTTGACTGCGGCAAACTTAAGCTGCCACATTCTAGATAACTTTTCACTAAGCAATTGCAGCAGGAATGTGCTTCAATTTAGGTGGCAAAAATAACTGCAACTTGTGACAATTGTAATTGTTTGTGGATGCTCAAGTCATGCAATGGAGTGTCTAACTTTTATCTATTATGCTTCTCTCTTTAGATATTTATAATAGAGATCGCAGGTGTGGAGAGCGAACAACTTATTTTCAACTCCAACTATTCCTTTATGCCCCAAATTTCACGATCTTAGCCAAGCGAATCTCATATTAGCTATTATGTAAGTATTCTCATGTGATCTCTCCCGATGATCATGGCAGTGATTAGATGTGAGATAAAGGCATACTTGATTCACTCTGAGTTCTGATCGTCCTGGAGTGAGAAGAAAAATTTGTGTCAGATATGATTGAGAAGAGATTCCTATTTTAAAGTTAACAAAATTATCAATGATATGTTCATATTAAATAATATTTAATCCGCAATGATATTTAAAGCGCAATCTCTTACATGCAACTTATATAAATATGTGCTCTCTCTTTTTCATTTCCGCAGGTGACATCCTCTCGGGCGTGTGCTTTGTGGGCCAGCTGGACACGCATTCGCTGGGCGGCTTTCTCATATTGCCGCTGTGCATTTATCTCTCGATCGGCGCTCTCTTTCTGCTGGCCGGCTTCATCTCGCTCTTTCGCATACGCACTGTGATGAAGACGGATGGCAAGCGGACGGATAAACTGGAGCGCCTGATGCTGCGCATCGGCTTCTTCTCGGGCCTGTTCATACTGCCCGCCCTGGGTCTGCTGGGCTGCCTGTTCTACGAGTACTACAACTTTGACGAGTGGATGATTCAGTGGCATCGCGACATTTGCAAGCCATTCTCCATACCCTGTCCGGCTGCCCGGCCGCCGGGCACGCCAGAGGCGCGTCCGATATTCCAGATATATATGGTCAAGTATCTGTGCTCCATGCTGGTGGGCGTGACGTCCAGCGTGTGGCTGTACTCCAGCAAGACCATGGTCAGCTGGCGAAACTTTGTGGAACGGCTCCAGGGCAAGGAGCCGCGCACACGGGCCCAAGCGTATGTCTAGTATGAGACGGCGGCGGCGGGGGCTGAAATAGCGGCTAACGAGAGTTACTTAGCGTTTAGCACGTAAATACTAGAGTCCACCCTGCCACAAGCGAACCACCCTGAACATAAGAGCGCAGATTTAGTCGTAGCTTAGCCTCATGCAGTTTGTATAAAGTTCATCTCTACCCTGCATTCGCAACCGCAACCGCACCCGCACCCGCACATGCACCCACCCCCGCAAGCAAATCAAAAGTTGACCCTAAGCTATTGTTTAATATTTTAGTTATACATACATATATATATATATATACATATATATATGAAAGCTGAGGGATTGCTCAACTCATGGCTTTCTTGTTGAACCAAAACTATGCGCATAAGTTGAACATTTTAATTGGTAAGTGTATTTTTAGTATGTCTTACTTCCTAGTAATCAAGTATCCTAGCTATTATTGACTCATCCACTTCCATTGCCCACGCTTCCGTTTCCTTTGCCGCATATACGTATACGAATTTTACAAGAGTTTACTCCATTCAATAGCTTGACTCCTTCCCACAGACGCATTCAATTCGAATAAGTTTGCATTTAAGTAGGTTTTTGATCAATTTTATTTGTGAAAGCTTTAAATGTGCCCTACAGTTAATTAAGCATACATATACACTCATACGTATGCAAGTATGTATGTGTGTCTCCTTTAGAATATTTAAGAACTGGTGTGAGATTTGGCAGCCTCGCTTAGAACACTTCTTTACGCAACAGTTGGCCAGAATTTCCATAGAAAATAAATTAGAAGATTCTTCACATTAAGCTCACATTTATTTATTTTTGACACACGCAAGCGACATTTCCAAACCAGATTCTATACCAACTGTGGCCAAATTTCACATCCGAAATATGTTAAGAACATGTTCGTAATAAAGGTAAAAATAGAATGAAAAAAAACAGCAAAAAACGTAAAAATTAAAAAAAAAACGCTTACAACTTAATTTAAAGCTAAATGTAAAATACAAAATAGCAGCATATAGAAATACACACAACAAAAATATTAATCATTCATATGTGTGAAAAAGCAAACTACTTACTATATATATTAATATATATATAAATGTATTATGTAGCAATATATGTCCTCTATGTGCTAAACTCTTAGCGTAACCCTTAATTGTATATTAATGTAATGATTTGTTAAACTAATTAATATTTAAAGCCAAACGCGTTTTTTTTATTAAATTTTTAATGACGTTGTAGTCATAACACTTAAGAGCTCACCCAACTGGCCCCTAAAAACATTGCAAAACTAATTAATTGTTTAAGAAAGCGATTAATTAACGAACTACAAATTGAAAAACTGCCATTTAAATATGTATTTGTTAGCTGCTGTTGAGCATTTGTTTTATTGCGCATTTAATTAACTACTGTACAATTTCTGTACTAATTTTGGTAATTAGAGTCCAAATATTCGAGTAGCATTTAAGTGAACAATTGAAGCGTAAGATGCAAATGCAATTCATTTCAATTACGAAAGTCGCTGTAAAATAAAAAAAAAATAAAAAACTATGAGCATAAAATATATATAAACCGAACAAACAATTATAAATGTGTATACATATTTAAATAACAATGGCAAGAAAACAAAAACAAAAACAAAACCAATATGAACAAATAAAACTTTATTTTATTGTTAAAGACTGAATGTGAAATGCATTTCATTTTGGTTTTGCAGAACATTTTACTTAAAAGACAGGTAAACGTCAAGTATGATCGCCATAAGAGCTGCAGGTTATGTTACGCATCATTGAATACTTGCTTAGTCTTACAGAGATAATTGTACCCTGTACACAGCGAAAATGGGTATAGAGCAAAGGGTATACTAGTTTTGTGCTTATGTATACAAAAGACAGACTCCGACTCCATTAAGTATATGAGTATTTTTATGCTGTTCGTAGACCTAGCCATGTTTGTTCGTCTGCATGAACGGAAGCTATTTTGTTATCCCATATCATATTATCATATATACCATTGCATTGAAGTCGGAATATTATATTGTCTGAAGCGGGCTTGAAGGCGAGCGCACTCGACTACGGCGTTCTGACTTGTTTTATGTGAGTGGCATCCAAGGAATTTGGGACTGCTTCATTAAAATTGTAAATTTGTTGTTAGCTGGCATTTTTGGTGCTCATCCTCAACTAATTGCATTGCAGACAATAAGCACTTGTCTCATGCTAGTCGACCAAAACTTTTCTCATTACAACCAACTAACCCACACAGACACACATATTTGCTCAGATATACACCCTTAAAACACACACGAAACACACACTCAAAACGCTGGCCACAATGCAGCTCCAAATTCAATCATAACTTGCCAACACCCGCAGCTATAGCTACAGAGAGCCTTCCCTAAAAGCACACGCCCCGACCTACTCCGATCCACACTTGAGCCACATTGCCGTAAGCGTTGAAATATACGAGTGGCGGGTGGGGCAGACTAGCTGCCACACACAATCACACACACACACACCTCTGGCCAGAGAGAGCACACGCCCATATAATTTTGATTACACTTGTTTTCTAAATACTCTGACTATAAAAAAACCACAGCGGAGCACATGCAAGCAAATAAAATCCAGGACTACTGCACGAGCGTGTGCTAGGTGCGTGCTGAATGCTGCGGAGTGGGGGGTGGGGGTGGAGGGAAACGCGGGGCCTAAGCGCCTTAACAACAAATTGCAGTTAAAAGCGACGGCCAGAAATCTGCGCTGCCTGGTAACCACGCAGGCCCCACCCGTCGTCCCTACACCAGCCAACGTTAACACGCGCACAGCGGGACATGTGGGTAAGGATATGAAGGATATGCCGTTGTTTTACAAAACACGTGTGCGATTTAACAACTACAATAAAAGCAACAACAACAACAGCTAAATACAATAACATGTACAGAATCAACTACAAATGCAACCAAAAGCAAGCAAAAGTTATTTCCGAAAAAAACAAAGCAGCAACAAAAAAATACTTTCAATATGGCGGCGAGTTTTGTTGCGTTTTTATGTGACCGCCATAAAAAAGTTATTAATGTGTGTAGATTTTGCGTGTGTGTGTGTGTGTGTGTGTGTGTGCACGCCACAAAATGGCGCGGGCGTGTGCAAGCGTTAATGTGGCAAAAATGTTTTTTGCAATGAACTTTTCTATGGGCTGCACACGTTTTTAAATGCCTTCAATGGGAGAGGAATAAAACTAGTGCCTGCTTCTTAGATGACCCCATAATGCCTAATGCAGATCGTAACAGTGACTCGTAACGCACCATGTTCCTTACAAATCTTTAGGGACATGTCCGAATTATGGCTTGTTTTGGCTAAAAACATAACATTTACAGTCATAGTCCGACAATATGTTTAGGCATATGGAATAAATATAGTTTATTGATTTAGCTGGAGGCAGGTCTATTGAGTGACTCTCAACATTTAAGTATATTGGAATATAATCCACTATTTTGAGGATTATTAGAGAAGTTTAATTTCCCCATACATAAAACCCTTCTGCCAAGCAAAAACACAATTTTTATTTGAATTTTAAAGTATATTTATCATATGCATTTAAGTAATCTTCATATCAGGAGCAGCAGCATAGGTTAGGAACCCTGCCCATTGGGATGCTGTTCTCTAGTGTTCAACAGCAAGTTGGGGCTCCAAGGCATCGAAATATATAATTGAAGGGATCTGTGATACTGATTTGATCATAGATCTGAAGGGAAGTGCGTTTGGCGCAACTCCAGAAAACTATCACAGGAAATCAATATTCCGATTCTTTTGCGTTTCTTTCGTTTCCGAAACGGACTTCTTTGAATCGAGATATTCAAAATTTATAAAATATTACGATTTTAAGGGGCCATGTCAGAAATTCATTCCCCGAAAATCGAGAGATATCTATTTTTACGGTCAGTTCAAAAGATTTGACCCCAATAAAGTTATATTTAACGATTGTCGGGATAATTTGCTACTTGTCGTTCTAGCATCTGCGTGGATAAAGACACCGTTTGCATTTTACGGAACACCAAGTGGATGCACTAGGTGTTTTCGTTCTATGTCTGGTGAGCAGGAGGGCTGATAACTTTGACGTAGACTGGAATAGCGCGACATCAGCCAACTTGCTGTGATATAAGGTAAGTTTATAATTATATTGTATATATATAGCCTGAAGCAGTCTGTGTGTTTTATTTCTCCCGCCTGCTATAGCCAAAGGACCTCATAGTATTGGCAGCTTTTGGCGTTTGTTAGATCACGTGCTGTGGATCACGTTAGCTATCCTGTGTGGATGACTCTACTGCTGCCACGTTCTCCAGATTGCTGGTATTCACAGCTAGGTAAGTCAAATCTAAGTCTCATTTCGTTGCCAACTGCAGAGAAAGTACATTATTGTAAGCTGTTCGCCTTCGTGCGGGCCCCAAACTGTCCTGTTTCAAACGAGCTGCAGTAATGGTGCAAGAATTTGGCCAAAGGACATCTTGATCTGTACGCAAGTCAAGAAAATTGGTCCCAAAAACCAAAATCGGTCTCTCATGACCCGACACTTCCCGATCTATGCTGATATCCAATCCTATGTTAAGCGAAACGTATAGAACACAGGTGAAAACTGGCTTGAAAACAAAAAATCTTCTCTGTGGTTTCGGACTTGGCTATTTTATAATAAATTACATTAAATCGGCCTGATGTGGCTACATATATCAGACATTAATTACCAAATCAGACATAGAAGATAATCGGACAAGTACAATCCTGTTGCAATTTGGCTTATATGCATATGTAATAAAAAGGACACACTTAAGTCCTTTAAGGATGTGAAGAAGAGGGATTTTTGTCTCTAAAAAAGATGGCAGTAGATTAGGAGCTGAGGAAAATATATTTTGCCCTGTAGAGATAAAAGTCTGTAGATTGGCCGTATCCTTGCCGATCATGATGTCCATTTGCCAACCGTTAGTCCTTATTCTCCCAATTAAGAATATATATTGGAAAGGACGAAGACAGCCTAGAAAGAAGTAAAATTCGTTCGTAAATTCATATGTCCATAAGTCGGTCGTATCCTTGCAGATCCTGATAAGTCCTGTGTCAAACAAATCGTATGAACAAGGACCTTAAACTGTCCAAAGAACAACCAAATCGTCCCTGCCGTTTCCGTGATATGGCCAATTTTCAAGAAAGGATATTTTGTAATTAACCATAAGTCGGCCAAATCCTTAAGAATATTGGAAGGACATACCGTTTTGAGCTCGTGGAGAGCAGAACTTTCGATTGGCATTCAAGGACTTCCAAGATTTGACAAAAAATTTCGTCGAAATTTATCCTAGGGGGTTAGCCGCAAAATTGGCTTAAATTGAAAAATTCGAGACTAACTTGGGCATTTGGAGGACTATCGGAATGTCCTTTGGACAGTAGATAGCGCTCGTCATCCCATTTAAGAAAATATAAAAAAAAGGACGAAAGTCCTTCAAATGGCAAAGTTTTAAGAACTATTTGTGCAAGAGAAAATAGGCCATAGCTCGGCCATATCCTGGCGTATCCTGACAAGTCCTGCGGCAAATAAATTGTATCAACCAGGACTACCAACTGGCCAAAATTTATTAAGATCGGCCCGCTGGTTTTGAAGATATTCAAGGATTTGTGTTTTCGGGCCATTTCCGTGCGCTCCGAGATAAAAATTTCACAAGTAAAAATACAAGTCCAGGGGTTCTTAGATGACCCCATATTTTTTTGATGCAGATCGATGGACGGGGTCTATGCGAACCTAACGCACCATGTCCTTTGAAAATCTGCAAGGACATGCCTAAGTTATGGCCATTTTTCCTTGCAATAATGGCAACATATATATTTTTTTCCAGTTTATTTTTTAAATGTTTTTTTATCTTTACAGACTAACAAATTAAGGACTACAATGATCTCCTATACCTCCACGACTGACACAGGAAATTTTTCCAGGATCAACCTTTAATTAGGCCAGATATACTTATTTTATGTTTGAATAAGCTAAAATTATAATTATTGATCAATTTTTATAATTTTAATACATAAAAAGCAAAATTGTTGTAAATATGAACATAAATAAATCAATTATTTACAATTAAAGAAGAAAATCCTGTTTTTTATTCAAAAAATCCGAAATCTACGGTCTTTAGACAAATTTCATTGCATACCCAAAAGGGGCGTCTGTTGGCAACCGCTGGCTGCCGAGATTTTTCTTAAAATCTGCCAAAATACCAGGCGAACAGAAATGCCCAGAAGGTCGACAAAAAATATTTTTGGCTGGCGAAAAAATTTCATTGCATACCCAAAAGGGGCGCCCTCGTCGCCGGTTGGGTTCTTGCGCATTTTGCAAGAACTTGGTCCTATAGGTTCGCTAGGACTATCTCCATGGTATGGAATAACCAAGGATTTATATGTCAACTAGGTACCAACATTTGCGACTATTTTCTGATTGTAAACAAACTTAAAAACACAAATTCTTTAATGCTTTTCCATGGAAATAACAACGCGGCGATTATGTTCGGCGGAATTATGTCGCTTTAAGGCGTCAAATTTCCGATGATCTTTTAAAGACATAATTGATTGTTGATTATATGTTGTCCATGGGCATGGCAGATTAGACTGAAAAATACAGAATATAGAATGTATTAGTTTGCATAAAACAAATTGGTTAAAATACGATTGATTTTTTGAAAGACATACCTTTTAGCAATCGTGAAAGACTTTAAATAGACAGCAGAACAAAATTTTAATTCAATACCGATCGTGATTTGGCAACAAACTATCATTTCTTTAAATGACTATTCATTGTATGGATTAACCAATCACATATGTCATCTAGGTACCAACGATACTGAGAATTGTACTGTCCACGGGCGTGACAGAATTGGCTACAAGACAAAATGAAAAATTTTATGCAAACTTAAATATATGAGTCCGATCTTGCACGTACCTTATGGCGTACCTAGTAGGATTTGTGACTTTTAACCTCGGCCATTTTGGTCATAATTCAGAATGGAATTTGAAAAATCAAGGTTATCCAGGTACCAACGATATTGAATGTTTTCTTATCCATGGCAGATTTGGCTGACAAATAAAAAATACAAAATGATTTAGTATTTTGATAGTTTTGAATGGCTCTCTATCTGTTAAATTATGTTGAATTGGCGCACAGAAAATTGAGCAAGCAGACCTTTAAACCGAGTGAGAGCGTTTCCAAGGTAGATAACTTACAACTAGTCACATGCAAGCATACATACATACATATGTGGATATCACTTGAGAGCAAAATATGCACGTATGTATGTAGGTGCACATGACTGCAAGTACGTTATCTTCTTATTCATCGCGCTCTCACAAATTTTAACGAAGCAAAACATTCTTTATTTTCTGATAAACTTTGAATGGGATGTTTATTACATTTTGGTCAAACTTTTCAATACGATTTTTTGCTGTGTCAGTACTCCAGATGCGTACGACTCAAAATATATATACCATACGCAATACGCACGGTAATTGCGCGAGAATTTTCACTTCTTATATTTTTGAACAGCTTAACACGACTGCCGGCAATTAACCAAAACGAAATTATGTTGCGCAGACGAGAAGTGGACAAGAAACTGAAGTGAGCGCCAGTCAAAGCTAGATATATTACAAGCAATCACACACATGCACAAATAGACAACATGCAGAGACAATCGTCAAAAATGTTCAGATATATGTGTGATTGTCCATTATCTACATACATATTCGGGAAAGATCCCGAATTTTTGTGAGCCGCAGCACGACTTGCTCTAACTTCTCTATTCCTCCTTTGTGTTCGCTCGCGCAATTAAGTTTTATGCAAGCAATCACAGAAATCTGCACAGGCAGGCATCGCCGACTATAAGTATGTAGGCATGCGCACATGCGCTTTTCGCTTTTAGACTCGCGCTCACGCAATTCGTTTATTAATGCCAATAGTTTTAGGCTGTGCAAGTCCAGCTAGGTATTTCATTCTAAATGGTGCCCTTACAAATAATAATCGATTTTACATACTATAACTCACAGCATGGCATCATGCCATATCGACTAAACAGAATAAAGTTGTACAGATCCAAAGCGAACCAAAATACCGGCGCTCAGAAAATAGAGCAGACAAACAACCAGGCAACCAATTATTGATTGGACCAATCAGCGATCAGCACCAAAAAGAGTCGTGAGTGCATGAGCGTAGGAAGATAAATGACAGCGAACACACGCACAAACAGGTGACTCGTTATCTCTGACTTTGGCGCTCTCAGCGCATACGTCTGTTTGTGTGGGTGTGCATGCTGGTCAATGTGTCGCAAAGTTCTCACTCGAATTTTGGTCGTTTGCTTATTTGCTGTGCGCCGGGTTTTTCGTCTGCTCGCGGCACTCACAATTTAACACTCTGTTAATTTGAACCCTGTAGTCAATGCCGTTCAAGCAGGCTGACGCATCTATAATTTGTTGTAACCCACTTTTATAAAATTAAACTGTGTCAGAAAATTAGAAGTTCCTGGCCCGAATGAATGTGGAAAGGTATATTCCAGAAGCGGCCTCTATGTATATTTCAATTTAATTCTTTGCTTCTTAGGAATTTTCTTAAATAAAATGTAGCTAAACTAAAAAAAAACTTGTCTTAAATATGATATTAACAGACACCGCCACACAAACAACCATTCGACAACTCTTAATGGTTATCATATTTATAACTAAACAGCGATATGTATTAAAGAATGTTCAATGGGTCAAGGCTCCATTGCGCATGCACATAAATAAATATATTTATATATATATATATATACTTATTTTCTCTTTGCCTACGACATACACACATGGGATGCATAAGTAGATAATGCACCAGCACGAGTATACACAAACATACGTTCATATTGAGCAATTATCTCTGCATACATACATATGTTTGGGTGTGTGTTTCCTAACATGCTGTGTACATGTGTGTGTATGCGTGTGTGTGGTTGTTTATGCGTTATCTGCCTTTGGATGGCGCGCACACGAAGAATATTTTATCTTGAGATCATTTGCTTGCTCTAATTTCTGTGCGCCGAATTTATTGTCTCCTTTGCACTCGCGCGAATTAGTTCTGAGTTAATTTGATTGATTTTCACTCTCAGCTGAAGACTCTGCATAGCCGCATTTGGCAATTGCTGGTTGTGTGAGAGTATAATCTATGTTAAATATGCAGGATTATTTTGTTTAATACATTGAAAAGACCACATTGAAAAATATATCCCTTAGATAGGTTGGTGTTTTTGAAATCAATTGGAATAAAATAGTAATGCAACCACTTGCCTTTTATTTTAACTAATTTGGTCAGAGGTATTTTATTTTATTGTACTTGGCGTATTTAACAGTTGCCCATAAGGAATGGGCTCTAATAAACCTGCTGTAGAATAAATATCAAGTTTGTCAACTTAACGACAAGCAAAGCAGAGTTACAGTTCTTACGATGGTTTCTCGGCGCACAGGAATTATAACAAGCAAATTATATCAAGATAAATTCTTCTTTTGAGCAATATACAATACATAAATTCGTGTGTGCGCCATTCGTAGGTAGCCACACACAAATGTAAGTATGTATCACTTAAGAAAACACACACCCAATCATATGTATGCAGAGATAATCGCCAAAAATGTATATACACATATATATGTTATATATATATACAGAGATACATATGTGCATATACAAGTGCAGTCCGCTAATAGCTCAAAAAGAGACTTGCTCTATGTGCTGTGCCCCTTTTTGTTGAATCCGCGTTGCCTTCGCGTCAATTGAACCCCAATAGTCAATAAGATGTTCACCTTCATTTGACTCGTGAAACTCTACAGAAAATAGTGATCAAAAATATTGTATAAGTGTCGAAAGGGAATAAAACCGCTTAAGAGATATTTCTCGACAAGCCTGACAATTTTAAACAGTCCTTAAAAGCGATTTGATAAAATATGGATTGGATTGGATGCTGCAACAACCTATAAAAACAGTATATTAATGAAACGTACTAAGTCAAATAAAACTGTCATGTGACATACGTGTAAATGTTTTGTGTCGAGCTTCAGTTAGCTCCGTAGCTAGGAATGACATCTAAGATAATTCAAGAGTACAAGTAGGCTGGGAAATTTCGAAACACGTGTTTTGATTTATAAGAATTTAATTTCAGCAGATTTCGTTGCTATCGAACTCCAATTTAATCACTTAAGAAAGATGTCTTTCAAATTTTGGCTTTGCTTAACAATCGTATCTTTGGCCGTAGCGCATACATACGTCTACACGGATCTCTTAAGACAGACCAAAAAGTCGGGCTTGGCCAGTTATATGACGGACATGTGGTATAGCGTGACGGACGCCTGGGAACAGTTCAAGCTTCAGCTGAAATGGAAGCTGGAAACGGGCCAAAAGTTAGCAATACATGTCCAGAAGACCCTGGCCGAAATACGGGAGAAACGGGAAAAATTGAGGGTCAAAAAAAGTTTTAAATCTGGTTAAAAAAGGTCAACATTAAAATTGCCCTCGTATTTAACTTGTTTTTCGTTTGTGCAGAGCTAAATATTATGTATGTAGTAAAAAGTAAAGAAAGAGATTTTCATTTAATTAATTGCAAATACTTTGGCTGACAGCTGCAAAATCGAGCACCAATGAAAAACTGTGAAAAGTGGACGCGTTTAATTGGAATTTTCAATTAGGCAATGACCAAATGTAGCTTGCCAAAAGATAAACTTTTGTTCTGTGTGTGTGTGTTCATTGACTTTGACCCTTTGACAACGTGCGAATAGAAATTCAAGTAATTGGCGAACGAAGTTGGGTATGAAGTAAATAAAATCTATAATAGCATCATGCACAGTAGTTCTCTCTAATCTTAGTTGCCACAAAAATCTCGACAGCTGCGCTTCATTGGTGCTCAATGAAATTTCATGACCATTGGGGTCTCCAGGAACTACACTCCCGGCGTGCATAGTTGAGCGGGGGCAAGCCGCAAACAATGCTAAAGTTAATTGCTCGTCCGACTTACAACCCCAGCGAGGGCAACTAGCACAACTTGAGCCCCCCAGCACAATTGCTCTTATAAGACGCCTGCAAATCGCAGCAAATTGCGCAGCAGTCGTCGGGCAATCCTGTCGAGAAGCCAGTCAAAAAAATCGGAACAATCTTCAAGGGGCTCGCCTGGTATGGAATGGGAGAAGCATTTAGTTGCCTTCCGGCTTTCTAATGGGAGTGCCAATATTTGTCAGCTGCTGACAATTGCAGGCACTTTTGTGGGCTGCTAATTTCTGTCGGAGCAGTCAATTAAATTTTCGGCAAGGACTCGGCTGACATCTTCAACTTTCGGGATTAAAACGGCGCCAAATGAATAAATGATGGGGCATGAATGTCAATCAGGGTTAAGCATCGGAAATGAAGACAAACAATCGCTACAAAATGAATGGACACAAATTGAAATACGAGCAAAGCCCCAGCACCGACGGGGCGTATGGCACTGATGGGGCTGACGGGGCTGACGGGAGGGCGTTGCAAACTTCACTACTGATGAGTCATGTTGGGCCGGGGCGACAATGCCATTAGTGAACTCTCTGTGCGGCGCTGCGCTGCGCCGCGCGGCGCGGGGTGGCATAAATTATTAGCTAAAACCACGCCCACAAATTGATAAAGTTTTCCCTCGCCCACTAACAATACTAATGACAGTTGCTGCAAAAGTTTTTCGGGCATCCGAAATCGATTTTAATGGCATCGCAAATAACGCAATGGAAATATCGTCTGTAAATTTGGCAAGCTGAGAAAACATTTGAGTTCTTTATGTAGTGCCTATCGAAGGGGTGGCTAGGGCTAAAGGTGGCGGATGGGAATAGGCTAAACAAAGTTCGAACTGCAAATGAATTGAGTTTGATGGTGAAAATGTTGTAAAATTTTATAGTTATCGCTGGCAATTTGATGAAATGCGCAACTAGATAGGCTCCACAAATAGAGTGCTACGGCAAAGTGCTGCGAGAAAGCAGCCCGACTATGAAATACCCAGCCCTTACCCAACAAAGGGTGTAGAGTTGACTTTACTGACGGTGGCTT